TCATAAATCTGCCCAAGGAGGAAAAAAAAACCAAACACACATGCACAAAAAAAAAAAGGGGGGGGGGGGGGTGGCATTTTCACTGATACGATCTCTGGAAAAGGATGGCAGAGCACAGTGCTCCCTGAGTGGGGCAGGCAGGCTTGTCTCCGGTACCCCCCCTTGTCACAGCTCCGGCTGGGGTGGCTGCAGGCACCAGCCTGCCAGGGTCCTCTGCCCAGGCGCAGCACTGGCAGCCTGCAATGCTCTCCAGGCTGCTTGGAAATGAAGCAAGCAGAGCCAGCCCAGAATTCCTGGGGGGGTTTGGGAGCTCACCTACCCAGGAAGGAGGAGCTGTCACATTCACAAGTGAAGGTGGAAGCCTGGCTAGTCAGATGGGAAGCTCTTTCCTCCCCGTGCTTCTGCTCTCCATGCTGGGGGGTAGGATGCCATGAACTCACTGTTCTGTTCCCCAGAACCACTTCCTTCTTCAGTGCTTTCAGAACCTTCCCACCTGAATAACTTTTGACATTATTTTTCATTAAAATAGAAAGTTTGGACACTTGCAAGCATCACTCCTATTTCCCGACCTTTGCAGCACTGCGCAGGGCACAGAGCACACCTTCCGTTCAGACGTTCACGGGTGCTGACATGCCCTGGGCAGATCTCAGCCTTCCCGTGTGACTCTGAGCCCCTCACCAGGAGCAGCACTGTCCTGCTTAGCACAGCCCGACAGAAAAGAGACTTAAAAACCACAGGATGGTCAACAATTCCAGTGATGAGTCTTTAGCAAAGGCTACATGCTGCATGGGTACATGAGGTGTCCCTTGCTCACACGTGATGTGGCAAATTGACACCTGAACAAAAATGAAAAAACAGCAGCTTAGGTTCTGCTCTCTGCAAGGGTTGAGGGATATCAGCTCCAGGGTGAGGGCACCAGCTACGACCATTTTCCCGGGTGACATCAGTGTTAGCATCACTGCGAGCTGGCAGTCCCCTGGGCTGGGGACAGTCAGCACTCTGGAGGTGGCTCTGGAGACAGCCCAGCTCCCCAGCAAAACGCTGCCACCTCCAGCCTGTGTAAACACGGGAGAGTTCGTGTTTCTTTCAGCTGCTTGTCCAAAATGAGGAATAACATAAATGCAAACATGCTGTCACATGTTCATCATGTTTCTGGGACATTTCAGAACTAGGCTGACTTCAAGCAAAAAGCTAGGCTGATGGGGAAGAGGGGCAACAAATGCCCAGAAGAGGCCCTATAAACTGTGGCGGTAGCATCCCTGCCCCTTAATATTTTTTTTTTAACCTTTAGGTATTTAATAGCATAAGAATCTCTCTTGTTTGTTATTGCAGTCTGGGACTATTTTTAACACTGCTAATGAGTGACTAAGACGAGGTGGAGCAGCCACGGCAGCTACGCAGCTCCCAGCCACCCACAAGGTTTACCCGGCCGTCAGAGGAGGGGCTGGACCAGGGCCATCCCTGGGAAAGGGCAGAGAAAGGCGCTTGCAAACATGAGGCGCGCAGAAGAAAATGTGTGTGTCCTGGGACACGCGTGGTGCAACATGTACAATAGTTCCTGCAGCTTATTGAAAAAAGCCCCTGACTCCTCACAGGGTATGGATGTCAAACACTTCGGTATTTTTCTCTGCATTAATCTCTGAACAGGGCACACAGAGCACGTGGTTTGGATCTCATCTACCCATCAAAGATAGGAGAAAAAACATCCCTGTAAATAAGTTATTCCTGAACAAGAGCTCTAGAAACAGTACCCAAATGAAGGCAAAACATGGTTTCCCACAGGGTCAGTAAATTATCAGAAAATGTAACACCCGGCCTGTGTTTGTCCTTGTGTCCTTTGGAGTGGTCCCTGCAGAGGTGCCCTTGTGTTCGGGGAGTCGGAAGCTGTTGAAACGAGTACATCCCGCATCCCTTCTCCTCCCGTCACCACCGTGATTGCTGTATTCAGAGCAGGAAACGAAAATAACTGTGGGAAGTACCAGATGGCGGCTGCTGAATGCAGCATGCTGTCTGCCAAGTCCTTCTGAGCAGGAGAGCGCATGTACTGAATGGGAATGAAGACGGCGTCATCGGAGCATGACAGCAGTATGGCAGCATCGGGAACACAGCGCTAGCCTGAGGGGAAAGGTGAGAAACACTCCAGTCTGGACAAACAATATTGTAAATGGAATAAAATATTATCTATAATTTTTTTTTCTAGATATAAATTTTTTTTAAAAGCCTACCTGATGCAGGGAACTCCTGCGAAGTGTTCAAATCTCTATTCATACTAAACCATCAAAAGCAAATTGCACCGATGGGTTGACCGTGTTTACAGCAGGAGAAAAGTACCGTGCCTACACAGATAGTTGTGCTCTGACAAATGCTGTTGCAGCGGCAGAGGATAAAACACTGGAGCTAGAGCCTCTGTCCCCCCAGCCCTCCACCCCAAGGACATCATGCTTCTAACAGCCGCGGAGGACAGCAAGACCTGCGTGCCTGGTGCGGAGCCCGGCCCCACGGCTCGTGGCACTGGCGTGTGGGGCCTGGGATGAGACACTGGCCCTGGGGCTGCCCAGACACTCGCTGCCTTCCCCTGCTCAGCCGGGTGGTAAGGACACAGCATTGCCAAACCTTGCAGCAACGGCTCAAAGTGTTCCCACAACAAGGCAGCATCAGTGCAGCCTCGTGTCCTTGCAACAAGTGATGTGCATTTAAAAACAAGGGGTTCCCCCCGGCACTGCCCAACCCCACCGGGCTGTGACCAAACTGTTCCAAGCAGCACTGCATTTTAAGATCATTTAAATATGCTGTTACATGCCTTTTCAGACCTTAGAGAGAAATTATTGTCATGGTTTAGGCCCAGCCAGCACTAAGGACCACATATCCACTCGCTCACCCCTCCCTGGTGGGATGGGGAGGAGAATCAGAAGAAAAGAAAAGGTAAAACCTCATGGGTTGAGACAAGCACAGGGTGGGATAACTCAGCAGTTATGGTCATGGGCAAAACAGACTCGACTTGGGGAAAAAAAAAAATCATTTTCATTTGTTAGCAATCAAATCAGACTAGGTGACTTGGACCGGGGGAAGCTTCCAGCAGCTTCTCACAGGAGTCACCCCTGCAGCCCCTCTGCCCGCTACCAACCCCCCATCACACAAACCCAATACAATTATTTCAACATTTTATTTTAGGAGGTATGGCAGAGGGAGAAAAAAAAAATCAGAATTTTGAAGCAATAACTTAACTGGAATTACAACACAAGCCAGAAAGAGAGAGGTACAGAGCACAGGTTGGAAATCTTTGCTTTGGCCCATGGAGGAAATCAGATTATTCTACCATGTAGCCTTAAAAACCAGAGAATTAAGTGGTTTGTGGATGACAAAAGAAAACTAACTGGAGAGGTATTCCAAAACTTAAAAGAAAAGAAAGGCAATTATGTAGAAATACTAAAATGAAGTAATTTTTCAGTGCTTATCTATAGGAAGACAGGATGTTGGGCTACCTTTTATTAATTTACTTAAAGTGGTTCCTCTTGTATGGGATCTTGGGTTGGACTAGTTCATGTATATGCTAGAGCAAGTTTGTATGATACAAACCGGAATTTTTTACATTTTTCTTTTTAAATCAGTACTATAAACATCTAAAATTGCTGAAGTCAAATTATTTATAAAATTACACAAGATGTTAGAACTGAAGTAGACCAGTGGCAGTGCAGATACCTGGTGTAAACAGAGCCACAAACTGTTACACCAGCTGAGGATTTGTCCTACAATTCACAAGCTCTAGGATCTCAAAGGTCAACTTGCCTTAAGCAACTGCGTAGAGCTGTCAGATAATTGTGCTCCTTTACATTAAATTAATGTGTAGCTAATGAAGAAGGAAAAAATAAAGCCAAATCTGTTTTATCCCTAGGATTTACAATAAAGGACAAGCTGTCTCTTACTGCAGCGATTACATACCCAAACCTAAACATGAGTCACATGAGGTTTTACTCACATTTAGCTTCAGCAAACATATTTGCCAAGGGCGAGTGGTGAAACGAGGTGGGGATCCAAATGTGCAGGATCAATGCAGAGTTCATGGCTGCCACTGCTGCTGCACGGAGGAACATCCAAACCACCTCCTGTTCAGCCTTTCCGAGGTCAGTGGGATGCCGTTACCGTGAACAGAGGGATTTTTGCTTGTGCTGGTGACAAAGCCCTTCAAGCTCAATAATTTGAAATTCAACTACACAGGGTTTATTTAGAAGAAGAACCTTCTACACCTGCAGAGAGCCTGGGAAAATAGACCATTCCCACCTCCAGCTTTCTGCTCAGTGGTGTTCTAGTTGCATCCAGTGAGGACCCAGATTTACTCACAGATCCAGTGTTAATTCACTGTTTTCTAGAGAATGATTATGCATGATGAGAGAGTAAAATAGAGCCTTCAGGCTGATACATATTATATAGTTTCTGAAGAATGTCCCTGTGAATTGCAAGTATGATTACAAATTCCTGTCCTACCAAAACATAAATATGATAACGTGCTTTGCTGACCTGTGGTTGTCTTGAAGTCTCTTGCCCATGGTTTAAGACTACTTTAAACAATATGGAGATAGCAAATCAAGATAAGAAGTTGCAGCACTGAATTGACACTAACTGAATCCCTGCAGTTATCAGTTATTAACTGCATTGATAAGAATTGTGCTTCTTATCAAGAGATGATAAATGAATAAACACAGAAAGATTAAAAAGTGCTAAGAGTCCTTTCGGAGAGGGCTACGTGAAAAGCCTTAAGTAGACAATATTTATTTCACAACAAACATACTGTCAGGTTTAATACCACAGCTATTAGAAGCTATTTACTGAAAAGCAAAAGGTGATTTTTCATTCCTCAAACAGTAAATAGTACATGTATTCTTCCAACTGAGAGAAAAAGGACAGAACAGCTGCAGTTCATTTCTTCTTGATTCACAGTTGCAAATAATAGAAGTTCACAGCAAGAACTTTCTCTTTCAGAATAAAGTAGAAACATCCAATTGCTAAAAGTACAAATCTTGTCTTCTGTCATGAATCTGAATACCTGAAAGACACAGCGGTATCAGGACAATCAAATAGCATAGTCTATGCAATCTCTTAGGATGTTGTGCAAACAAAATTGCACCTTTGGATCTGATGCAAGAGAGCCCTTGCTAGAACAACCAGAATGACCCATCCAAAGTATCCCCAAAATATTGCACATCAAAGAGCCTGCATCAGGGTACAACACTGTTTCAAGAGACTAATAAAAACATAATAAAGCCTGAATGCTTTGGAAATAATTTCTTAGAACAACTGTCCTAACTACTGTGGTCAGTTTGTTGGTGAACCTTGGGGTAACGCTAGCACTCAGCTCTAACAGAGACCTCAGCCTGAAGCCAGGTGTTTGAGATACAAAGGAAGGGGTGTCCTGTCTTTCTGGGTTCTGAAACCTGGGACAGACAGTGCAAAATAGGTGGTGTGAAGTGGCAGGCTGATGGTATAACAGGCACAGAAATGAAGGTAGATGGAGTCAGAAAGTCATATATCTCATTTTAATAGAATGTCTTGCCTCTTCTCTGTTAATGTAGTTATGGGAGGTGGTCTGTATATCTCAGGGAAAAGCAAGCTTTTGAAATATAGTCTGGAAGCAACCAAAGAAGCATCTTTAATTCTGTGTGCATAAGCAAGGCAGCTATCCTTCATAGGTGTGTGTTAATTTGTTCCAAACCTTCTGGTTTCCTTACTCACCTGCAGTGGGATGGCTGACACTGGGATTTTCTGAGCCTTGGTAAGAGCTTGCTTTCCTCTCTTAAAAAAAAAAAAAAATACTGGAGATGAGCAGAGATTCAACACAGAGCTAAAAGCAGGCAGTAGATCCCAAAGAAACCTTGTGCTTTTGCAGCCCAGCCTATAGCACAGGTGCTGGGGAGCTCTGTGCTGTCTGGCACAGCAATGTACACTTCCATAAATATAAATATCAGCTGTTCTTAAACATGACACAGAGCAACGAGAAGTATATTTAACAGAGCGCGCCAAGAAACAGGGACTCCCACAGCCAGACTAGATGCACACATCCTAGGGACTTGCCAAAGGCTCCCTGTGAGCATGGGCCAGTCGCTTCTTATGTGACATAACACCATAACGTGGTGTTATGAGGCTCCCCAAATATTCAGAAAGGCCCTGGAAACATCCTGAAAGAAAAGGCTTTAATTGGCGATGGCTGGGGAACATCAAGCTATTTAATTTCCTTTTTAATTTTTCCCCACTCATTTTCTCCCTGAAAGTTTGAACAAAAGTCCTCTGTTGTTAGCACTGCTTCCCTTTTTCGATCTCAAGACCAGTTTCATGAACCATCTCCCTTTTTAGAGGAGTCAGCTCCTCAGGCTCCCAAGCCTTGATAGGCTCATATTGCCCCCTTGGGGGAAGAGGGCATCTAACCTTCTTCTTAAATTAAATCCCGGACATCCAGACAGTGCCTTTAAAGTAATTACTCACTGCAAAGTCTAGGATGCATGCCTGTGCAACACATACATACAGCCTCAGCTAAATCCATCTAACTACGTATCATGAGCAGGAAATTTGTATTCCAGCTGAAGACATACACACTCTCCCTTTTCCATGCACAGACAGGCACTAGACACTCCATCAGGAGTAGGTTAGCAGAACACCTACTGCTGGGAACCTCATAAAAACATAGCTTCATTATAACCTCAAAACTGGAACTGCAGATAAGACTGCCTGCAGATATAAACTGTACTTTCAGCCCATGTTCTGCCAAATTCCCACTGATGCAGGTTAGAAACTGGGTAACCCATAGGTATATGGTTATTTTTCAAAACTTAAGCCTCAAGATCACTTCTTCACATGCCTGGTCTTTTTTATCTAGAAGCAGCAGGTAGGACGCATTGTACTTTTCCAGCAGACTCCCTAAACAATTTCACAACCTTTTTTCTTGGAGCCCAGTGCCAAGCCGACTATCTGGGTAATGCCCAGGAACAGCAATGCAGCCATACCCTAACAGCACCAGGGCTCTGGCCAAGAAGCTTGATCCCAGAGAGCTTCTCAAAGGCAGAAATTACTCACAAGGGAGCAATTTCATCCAGCTGACCTAGATGCTGTGGGGATGTAAGCTCTCAGGAAATGGACTTCAGCCACCAGCCATCTTTCTTCTGTGTGCTGGTAGTACCTAGGATTGGGATTCCTACTAATTGTTAATAATAAATAAGCAACAATCATCACTTCTGCGTGATTTGCATTATCTCTGGGAAATCTACTGCAGAGAGCAATCACAGCCTTTGACACGCGGGGCAGTGGCACTTCGTGGAAGGCAGCAATTAGCTGGGAGAGAAGGCAAAGCTGGCCTGCCAGCTACAGGCAGAGACTGGGGAGGGAGGGAAACCCCTGGCCTTTCTGGTGAGGGCTGTCACATCCTGTATTCAGAGTATCACTAATGGCCTACACAGTAAGACAGGTTGCTCAGGGCTCTTACCTGGCCCCCCCTTTCTGGACAAAATGTGGGAGCATCCAGTACACACAGAGTGACCCTGTCTGCTACCTATAAGCTAGTAACGTAACCCCTAATGTAAACCAGAAGGTAAAATCCTGTGCACGTGGGCAATGCCCATTTTTGATTAAGCCCTACTATAGTTAATGAATTCCAAATACCACAGTACACAGCATGGGTTATCTCTTCAAAAATGTTTCTATCAGCTGGGCTGAAGATGGGTCCAATTTAAGAACCTTAGGAGCAGATGGTATTATTTTGCCTCTTTACCCAAGATGTCATCAAAGAATAAAGTGATAGTAAGTATTTCCTTACCTCCCCCAGGAGCTGAACTTTGACTTATATTTTGTAACCTAGCAGGTCCAGTCATACAAGCAGAACTTGAGTGTTGCTTCATGGTACATTCTTGCATGGATGTTAGGCACCTCTCCTGTTGCAGAAGACCAAGAAGAGAACCGTATTTCCTGTCCGAGATGGGTTCATCTACCACGTGCAGGTCAGGCAAGGCATGATGATACACCGAACTGGTAAGACTGGGAGTCCCAATCGAAGGGAAGGGCCATAAATCCGGAGGTTGAGTTGGATGACTCCGCAGAGCTGATGGCTGGTATTGGCCTGCTACACCAGCAGCAGTAAAATTCAAACCAGAATTTGACATGCTTGCTGCAGAAGATGATGGATATGGTTTGGAGCAATGTGAAGAGAAATTCCACTGATGGGGAGACATGCTATCTAATTAAAAAGAGAAAGAAAGCATCTGAGGTCTCATCAATTCTCACTTTTTTTCAAGGCAAATTCCAATGGACTTCTAAGAGAATGCTACCACATTGCATATTCATTTTTACAGAAATATATATTCACTTTAGTGTTGCTTATCTTAAAAATCAACCACAAATTCATATTAAAACCAGACTAAACAACCACCACCAATACTTTCAAATAAACATTACATGTGTTTTCTTACAAGCCACTAGTATAGGCAGGTTTTTAACAACTGCAAGCTTAGACAATTTGTTGTCTTTGCAAAAATATATTTCAGTCATAACACGCTTAATGCATCTGACAGTGATGGAGGCTCTTGGCTGGAAAATGAAGACCCAGTCCTGCCAACAGCCCACAGAGAGCTTGGGAAGCACCCCAGCAAGTACAGGGATTTGCCCAGGAAATCCAAGCTACATAATCCAGGGTTTTGCAAGCATGATTTTCTTGCGTTCTGTTTGCACACAGTTCCAATTTTTAGTACTCTGCATCTCAAATTCCTTACTGAAAGCTAGTCACCTCTGTCTAACCCCACGCTCATGCATGGAAAGCAGCTCACCGTTCTTCAGGACAACGGTCTCGCCCTTGTGCTTTGTGCTCAGGTCTTGTGGGTTCTTGGCATTGCTTAGAGCTCTAGAAAAATGTTCATCTACCATGCTGTTAATATCCCCTTGGAAATACGTAAATACAACACTCTGAGACCCCCACTCTGTTTTCACAGGTCCTTTGCTTTTACACGGCTTTGGAGAGAGCTTCCTTGTTTCTTCCATTTTCAATAACCAACAGCCCCTGCCAAAAAAAACACAGACCTGTCAAAGAAACACTATTCAACTTAAAGTGCACAGTCAGTCGTGAGCCCATCTTCCTCCCGAAACTGGTAGGGCCAGAAGAACAGTTAATAGTAAGATTAGGTTCTTTATCTGGGTTTCTGCTTCTTTAACACACCTTTTCCTTACTGATTTCCTTATTATATAATTCCAATATCAAATACTTTAAGTATAAAACAAAAGGAGAAACCTTTCAATAAATTCATACTACATTTTTCAGAATTGTGATGGAAGGACATCTTTCCCAACACCAGACAAATTGAGTCCAAATTTAACTCCTTCAATGCAGTATCTTTCACTGGTGAGCTCTAAATTTTATGTAACTGTACAATATGTAACCTTAGTCAGAGATTCTGCATCCTGAAAGCAGTGAATGGCTCAGAGATGCAGACGGCCTGATGGATACCTACCTTGGATGAGTTACCTGTCAGTGCCATAGCACTGGCTCTATTGAAGAATGAAACGGGCACATCAATCCACCAGCTGCCATTTCTCACCCTGCCTTCATCCACCTTTAACCCTGGGCTTAGGACCTAGTAGTGTGCAAATGTACCCTGGGGATGGGAGTGTGCTAAAAGAACTGAAGTACATGGTGGTATCAGCCCTGGATGAAGCTCAGGGTAAACTCATCAAAATGCTTTGTTCAATTCTGGTTTTTGCGTTGTTCAAAAACATACTGACAAAGTAAAAAAAAAAAAAAAAAAACCAAAAAAAAACCCAACCAACCTAAGTGGAGCTTAAAACAATAATAACTTTAGATAAGGTAAAGTTTGAAGTACCTTGATCACTCTCAGCACAGACCTCCACAAGGAAAAGACCTCTGAGAATAATTAGTTGCTTCACCTGTTAGAAAAAGACACTCAGATTAAATTATTGGAAATTCAAATTATGGCAAATTCAAGCTTAAAAATAAATAACCTTTTTTGTTTGAAAAAACTTACCTAGGAATGTGGTGGGTCTGCTAGTCAATTAAAACTTTGGTAGCAAGACTGCTAAAACTGTAGCTCAACCAGAAGTTATGGATTTAAGGGAGGAATTACTCTAAAATAGTTTGCAGGAAGTCAACAGAAGACTATAAGACTCCTTTTTGTTCTTCTTAAGACTCTCTGCTGCCAGATATGGTAAGAGTAGGATAAGGAACGTCACTGCTCGCCCTGGAGAAGCATCAGTTTTATGCATTTGTGCAGTTTCTGGCCGCAGGGGAGCTAGTTCTACAGCCAGAGCTCATACATTCTGCTGTAATCAAAATCACATTTAGCAATGCTCAGGCTATGAATGCAGTGAGAATTGCCTGCTGTTTCTATTCAATTTTCCAGTCCCACTGTCAGCTCATCACACCACACAGCAGAATTGATTTACCTTGGTAGCAAAAAGAAGGCTGTTATTTTTCAGAAACGAGGGAAACCTTTGGCCAATAGCCAGTTGTATCACGCAAAACCTAATCAATTATTAGATTTGTGTTTCCATCCAACTAACCCTACAACATGCAGGGTTGCTTAACCTATTCCAATACAATTTCATAAGCCCCCCAGTCCTCAGAAGCTTCCTAATAACCATTGTGCTCATCTCTGTCTCAAAGGCTATTCTGAAGTATCTGCAAAGGCTGCCTCCAAATGGTCTCTGTGTTTCTTACACATGAAAAGACTCTTCAGGCTGCAAAGTCAAGTATTCAGACACTAAGAAAAATGAGGATTAAGGTTATCCAGCCACAATCCATCCCCTGTTTTAATCTTAGCCTTCATCTACAAACTTCTTGTAAATTTTTACCACTTGCTTCTACATCTAGTTTTGCTTGTTACCTCTACCTCCCCCTCCTCTGTCCAGTTCTTCCCCCTTCACGGTGCCTTGCTCAGTGAGCCTTAGTCCCCTGTCATCAACCAGCTATTTATGTTCAAACTCAAGAGTTCCTCAGTCCTCATCTTAGGGTTTCTATTGCCTTGCCCCTCTTCCATATTGCCTTGCCCCTCTTCCATCCTTTGCCCAGCTCCAGCCTCCAGTCCACCTGAGCAGAGTGGTGGGGATGGGACATGTACAGATTGGTCACCAGTTAGGAAATGCAAGGAGATACTCTGCAACAGTCAGCTCATTCAGAAAACCATCTTTCAGAACTTTAAAACTGACCAAACTTTGCCAAACACAGAAAATTTACACTGAAAAACCTTCATCCCGATTTACAGGCACCTTCCCAAGGCCCACAAGGGGAGCAGGAACTAGCACAACCCAGCCAAACAACTGGAAGAACTTCAAGCACAGGAAGAGACACTATTTTTTCCCAGTCTTGCTTTAGAAAGCAACCCACTGTTTAGGTTAAGAAACATTCTGGTTGCTCAGCTGGAGGCCAGCGCTTGCCATGGAAAATTCCAAACCAAGTGGTGAAAGCTTGGCAAAGACATCAGTGACCACACGGCATGAGAAAGAACTGCATCAGGCCACCTCGATAGGAAGCAGCAAACCAGCTCTTCCTACACTGCTCCAGCACTGCGCATCAACATACAATTTAAAAAGCATTAGCTCTGGCCCAGAGGTCTATTTTTCCTGCTGCTCACTCAGTGCAAGCCAGCCATTGTGTTTTTGTACCACTTTATTAACATGCTTAACTTGCCTGTGACATTAATTGCAAGCTCCTTTAGCACCGTTTATTGGTGTGTAGCAGCTGGTAGGCTTGTGTGAATTGTGACCACAGTAGTTACAATGCCAGAAAAATAATAATTTTTAAAAATTAAGAACGGTCTTTTATCTATTTTTTTCTCATTTCCCTTAAAAACCTCTTGTGCTTTCCAACAAGTAGTTGTAAGAAGGCTGGATATAACCTAGATTATATCTCAGTACTCTCAGAGATCATATGCACATGAGGAATCTAGTATCTCAAGAGTCAGGACTTAGATTTGGAGCACTGTGGTCTTCATTACCTGAACTTCCCATTCTTCCATCTTCCAGCAGGAAGTCTGCAAAAGAAGGGCAGAAATCCTTCCGAGTTGTATCTGCCACAAAATGTTGTCAAAATATAGTAGAAGCAGAGCTCAGGATGAAATAGACTCGGCTCGCCTCACACTACTCTAGGAATGGGTTAATTACGGCAAAATAGTGCAAGTGATTATCCAAGTCATTTGTCCTTCAGATGGACAAGGATGCATGGTCAACACAGGCGTAAGAGACATGGTTGTTGACTACTCACCACAAGTGACAATACTTCTTATTTTTTGTACTCCCCACCCTTGGTAGTACTATTAATTTCCCATCACTGTAACATGAGACAGGGAACTCTTTGTTCCCTCTTTCATGCAGCCCAAACCAGTTTAAAACATAAAATTTAAAAAAATTCCACTTCCCAAGTATTAAGCAATAATTTAACAAGCAGGCATTATCTTTCATCAAGTATCTTTCAAATAAAGGAACATTTGTGAAAGTCAGTGAACATACGTTGAAATGATCATTGAATTCTCCTACCTTAACTCACTGTCACGAGTGGTGTCACACCAGTATTTTCCAGACGCTGGACAGTCATGCTGTGTCCAGCAGTTGGGGATCCTTCTCCCGGCAGGCTATGTGCACTCTGCAGTGACTGCAGGAGGAGACAAGCAACGTTCATGAACTCCCTACATGCTTTCTAGCCTCTAGCTGCAAATGAACTAGGCGTTTCCTTCAGCCTATCTGCTAAGAATGCATGAAATGCACTCCAACAAGTCAACCGGCTTAGGAGGTTTCAGGAATGAGGAACATAGGATTGTAAGTAGGTTGGTTGGTTGTTTTTTTTTTTTTTTTTATGACAATGTGTACACAATAAAGAAGACAGTGTCTGGATTTCGGAAGAGTTTAAAGTAAGACGATAAGTTGTGGCAGAGAACCAAACTTGGCCAGGGTCAGAAAGGACCTTCCTATGTCAGGTTACAGCATATTCACCATTAAGAGTGTAAATACAAACATCTGAAAGAAGGAAAGGATCACCTGTCTCCATCCCAGATAACCTGGATAACCATTGTTTTCTCTCCTCTTTGCTGGATCTGTTTAAATGACTATAGAAATATTCAGAAAATAAAAATATTGTTCTTCATAGGCTGTAGCAACAAACAGGTAGTTTGGGGGTTTTTTGTAGCAAGTTTACCAAAATTACGAAATTGCAGCCATTCCAGAAATGCTGAATCAGGGTCAAATTTGCCACTCAGCTTGAGAAATACACTGAGGAACTACAGCCACTAAACTGGTGACATGTCTTTTATGGAGTAGCTTAAGCATTTGTTTACTCACCCAGAAAGTAGGAGAGCACAATCTAATTCCCCCTGCCTAAATACGTATGAATCCGCCCTCTGCCAGCTCCCAGAACAGCTTAACTACCAGGCTGTAAGATTTCCCGGGATGGTACTCAGTCTTTTATTGACACACTCTTTGCATAAGCACATTTTTATTGTGAGACAAACTGGATCCCAGCAGGGCAAGTGCCCTCAACATCTCAATCATTTGTTCTTTGATCCTCTTTTCTAAACTGTTTCATATAGCAGAAATTACTTCTGCTACAGCTTTTCAAGACCTCATTCAAGAATTTCTTCTTGGGCTGGCAGTTAGAGCACTCATAGATGGCACCAGTTTAAAGCTCCTAGGTGAACATCCCAAAGAACTACTAGGTAAAAATGGGATTATCATCCCTATTCCTTTGTAGTTTATGAACGGAAACAACTAATTTCCAGGGCTTTTTAAAGATTAAAAACGTTCAGCTTTGAACAAAACAATTAAAATTCTAAATTTCTGAAAATAAAAACTGAAATCCTGCTTGTCCTTAACAAACAACCCCTGCCCCAATCTCAATTAGAACTACAGTGTCTGCAGTCATTCCTCCTGCTCTTTATCTTCATGCAGGGTCCATTAACACAGCAAGCCAGAATGAAGTCTGAGACAAAACCCAAAGATAAAAAATACCATATCCCACTCTGAACACTTACAGTTCTAGT